GCTAAAGTAGACTAGGAAGAAACAGAGGCAGACTACATCTGAATGTTTCGTCACTGAAAACTTTATGAATAGCAGTGGAACATTGTTAAATATAATGCCTGCAGATGATGAGCCCCTCTCGTTAGAAGGTACTCAGAATACAACTGGAGATGAGCTGCGTTGTCAAAGTGGAATGAAGAATAATGACGTGGATGGAGCAAAGCTTTGGGGACCTTCACTTCTGGTGGGGCACAACTCAAATGAGAAGAAACAACTGCAAATACTCGTGAATAATAGTCTGAAGTGTGAATCTAGGAAAATTGGATATTGTCAAAAATGAAATGGAATACATAAAGATAAAGATCAATATCCTAGGCATTGTTGTTGTTGTTATCAAATGCTGTCGAGTCAATTCTGACCCTTAGTGATCCTGTATAGGGTTTCCAAGGAGCAGCTGGTGAGCTTGAACCACCGACCTTGCAGTTCAAACGGCTTTGCAGTCTGGCGTATTAGCCCACAGCACCACACCAGGACTCCCATTAGTGAGCTAAAAAAAAAAAAAATTGCCTTTTTGAATCTGACAGTGATGGTTTACTATCCGGGAACGTCAATTAAAGAGGAATGGCATGACATTCATTGTCAAAAAGAACATTTGAAGTTCTATCTTGAAGTACAGTGCTGTTTATGATAGGATGATATCCATATGCTTAAAAGGAAGACCAGTTAATACTATTATTAAAATTAAAATATAATAGAAGTGTTAAAAATCATATTCGATGAGGAAAGAATTGAAAATAGGAATTTAAATCAGAAAAATACATAGAAGACAACAGAATCAAATTTGAAAAGAAATGAAAAGGAAGCTAAGAAACATGAAAGATAGAATGAAAAAGACCAACATAATTCTGATATGAGTTTCAGACAGAGAAAATAAAAACAGTGTAAGAGTGAAAATATTCAAAAAGATATTATCTTAAGCTTTCTAAAAATGAGTAATAACCTCACTCAATTATAGGAAGAAAAATAAGCTCAAAGAGGATTAATAAAAATTCACCCATTGACAGCACAGGAAAATCACAGTCAATGAGTTGTACTAGAATAATCAGTCATTCATATGGAAATATAAAATAAAATTAGACCTCTGTCCCACACATTTGATGAAATGCAACTGCAGAAAAAAAAAAAAAATCCCAAAAGAGGGAGAAAGAAAGTTTGAAAACCTTTAGGAAAACAGTTACATGGTCTCAGAGTATGATAGGCTTTATCAAAAAGAAATGTATAAAAAATTAATGAACATAATTTGCTTAACAAAGGATAATATTTAAAAAGCACAAGAAAAGCTATAGACTGGGAGAAAAATATTTAGTGATTAGACATTATAAACAACTCTTATAGATTATTAAAAATATTAACAACCTTTGCTGAAATATTTAAAATTCAGCAAAAAGTGTAGCAGCATAATTTGCATAACAGGAAGTCTAAATGGCAATGAACTTATAAAAAGATGCTTAACCAATTGTGAGTAATTGTTGGCAGGATCAACTGTGATGGACATAACTGAAATAATAGAAAATGTATAACTAAAATGAAGGAGTAATCTTTCATTTCAGGAACAGATGATCTGAGAACCATCAATAAGAAAGAGCATGAGTGGAACCTGAGATCCCTACCTAGAAAAATGGTGACAGCAGAGACTGTGGCAAATGTGGTGGTATGAAGTGACAGAGCAGCTGCGGGCTCTAGGTCCATGGACTGTGAACTTTGTGTCTGTGGACAGGAAACTGGTTGACAGAATGTGCCCTTTGGACATTTAAAGGAATAA